ACTATTAATCATAATAACAATAATAACAATAAGGGCTTACTAAATAAAGAAACTTACCGATGTGCAGAGCGATGGAGAGACCGATGGCCGACCACAGAGAGTAACGACCTCCCACCCACTGAGGAGACACCAGCATCAATTAACCAATCAGAGAGCAGCATGACATCACACCAGCGTCAATTAACCAATCAGAGAGCAGCATGACATCACACCAGCGTCAATTAACCAATCAGAGCAGCATGACATCACACCAGCGTCAATTAACCAATCAGAGCAGCATGACATCACACCGGAGTCAATTAACCAATCAGACCAGCATGACATCACACCGGAGTCAATTAACCACTCAAACTAATAATAAGAGAAGACGTGGTATGAAGCGTCTGTCTCTCTAAACATGTTACGCTCTTATTCTGGAACCAGACTCACGTCCCAGAACTCGAACATGTTGGCGGTGTCGATCCCGAAGTCCTTCACCTTGACCTGAAGATGAGAGAGGAAGACTGATGAGACCCTGAAGGCATCAGAGGAACCCTGATGAGACCCTGAAGGCATCAGAGGAACCCTGATGAGACCCTGAAGGCATCAGAGGAACCCTGATGAGACCCTGAAGGCATCAGAGGAACCCTGATGAGAACCCTTATCTTAAGGTAATTCCCCGGGACATGGCAAACCTTATATGAACATGTTTTATGTAATAATCATTTACATTATGACCTATTATTAATGCTCAAGCAGTTTGGATGATATGGTGAAGATAACTTTACTACAGTATAAACACATTAAAGCTAGCGCAGCAGCTAACGTGCTACACGGTGACTCACTGCGTTGGTGGACAGAGCCACGAAATGTTTGGCCACCGCAGATTTCTGAGGAGGAAACAAGAGGAACATGAGAACATATCCTGAGAGAACATCGTCCAATCAGCTGCCAGAGAATCAAATGCACTCACATCATTGGCTGTCTTCAGGAACCAATCCCTGGCCGACTCTGCGTTAGTGATCGTCTCCTGAGTGGTGAACGTCTGCAGGGAAAAACATACTTTTAGTATCTGTGTGTGTGTGTGTGTGTGTGTGTGTGTGTGTGTGTGTGTGTGTGTGTGTGTGTGTGTGTGTGTGTGTGTGTGTGTGTGTGTGTGTACC